TGAGTCCACATGCCACAACTACTGAAGCCCACATGCCTAAAGCCCGTGGAGAAGCCACCACAATGAGAAACCTGCGCATCGCAACAAAGAGTAGCCCCCACTTGCTGCAACTACAGAAAGCCCACGTGCAGCAATGAAGACCCAACACAGCCAAAAGTAAATAATTTTATAAATATTAACTTGGTATGGTAATGTTTTCATAAGTTGTAAAATAAAGGTAAATGAGAGAATAATTTAATTTATTTATTTTTATAAATTTATTTACTTTTGCCACCAGGGGACCCTCCAGTGGTTTGAGTTTTAAAAGGCCACTTTTTCCTTTTTTGCCCCCTTGGTTTCAAGTTCTACCTGATTGAGCTAATTAGGCTCAGTCTCAGGTCCTCATGGGCTCTATTTACACTTCTGTCTTGTAGAGATTTGCAAGACAAAAACAGTTGCTTTTAATTCCCCAAAGAACCGGTCTGTCACCTAAATGATATTAAAAGATTGATTTGCACAGCTATATTTTCATTAATTTGATTTTCTATATTAGTGAGAAGACTTCCAACTAAACCAAAATTTAAGAGTTCTATGTTCTAGGGACTTCCCTGGTGGCGCAGTGGTTAAGAATCCACCTGCCAATGCAGGAGACACGAGTTCGATCCCTGGTCTGGGAAGATCCCACATGGCACGGAGCAACTAAGCCCATGTGCCACAACTGCTGAGCCTACACTGTAGAGCCCACAAACCACAACTACTGAGCCCACGTGCCACAATTACTGAAGCTCGCATGCCCCAGAGCCCGCACGCCACAACTACTGAAGCCTGTGTGCCACAGCTACTGAGCCTGAGTGCTGCAACTACTGGAGCCCACGCACCCAGAGCCTGTGCTCCGCAGCAAGAGAAGCCACCGCAATGAGAAACCAGCACACTGCAACAAAGAGTAGCCCCCCGCTCGCCTCAACCAGAGAAAGCCTGCGTGCAGCAATGAAGGCCCAATGCAGCCAAAAAATAAATAAAATTTTAAAAAGAGTTCTAATGGAATCTAAAAAATAAAAAGGGCATGAAGAACCTAGGGGCAGGATGGGAATAAAGACATAGACCTACTAGAGGATGGAACTGAGAACATGGGGAGGGGGAAGGGTAAGCTAGGACAAAGTGAGAGAGTGGCATGGACATATATACGCTACCCAATGTAAAACCGATAGTTAGTGGGAAGCAGCCGCATAGCACAGGGAGATCAGCTAGTTGCTTTGTGACCACCTAGAGGGGTGGGATAGGGAGGGTGGGAGAGCACGAGATGCAAGAGGGAAGAGATATGGGGATATATGTATAGCTGATTCACTTTGTTATAAAGCAGAAACTAACACATCGTTGTAAAGCAATTACACTCCAATAAAGGTGTTAAAAAATAAATAAAAGAGTTCTATGTTCTAGAACTTTAGGGTTTAATTCATCATGTCTTGTAAAGCTTTCATAAGGCAGTCAACAAAGGCCCTCTTTCTGAGTGCACAAGTTAAACTCAGAGCAAAATCTCTACTATTAATTAGCCCCTGAATATTGGTTCCCAGTATTTTTTTTTTTTTGTAAAGAGCTCAGGTAACCCTATTAGTTTCCTTTAGTATGTTTCATTAATATTTCTTGAGGGGCAAATCTACTTGGGGAAGTATTCCCCAGTGAAACATGTCTATCCCACAACGTAATTAAGCAAAGGAGATGTAACTGTGAGGGGAAACACTGACTGAAACCGCTCACCCTGTGGCCAGGCACCACAGTAACCATTTGCCTGAGTTATCTTAAACAGGAGGCCCTGGTAAGGAACACAGAACTAACAAGCCACCACCAACTGGAAGAATTCGGGAAAGGTCAAAAGGACACACCAGTCCATATGTCCTACCAACCTCCCAGAATCCTCCTCGCTGGAATCCATCCTGGCTGAGTGATGCTCGTGCCACCAGGAAGGACCCTGAGTCAGAATGATAGGCCAGAGACAACCAGGAAACTAATCCCATTACCATAAAACCAAAGACTGCGAGCCACGTGGCAGAGCAGTCCTCCTGGGTTCCCTTACCCTCCTGCTCTCTGCCCAGGCACCCCTTCACAATAAGGTCTCCTGCGTCGTCAGCGTGTGTGTGTCCTCGGACAATTCATTTCCGAATGTGAGACAAGAGCCCACTCTCGGGCCCTGGAAGGGGTCCCCCTTCCTGCAACATAACCATCTTATATAAAGCCCATTTAAACATACCAATTTTTACAAACTTTAATCTCAATTCTATATATTTTAGTTTACATTAGGACTCAATCAACAAGCCTTGGTTTTACAACGAGTCCTAGAGCTTTCCTTACTTATTTTATCTATTTTGTATAAAAGGTTCTGGGGTCCCCAGTGAGGGGTTAAGCCCAGAGACTCAGGCCCTTTTGTCAGTCTTTTAACTTGATTAATTGGCCTAACTGTTGTCCCAAGTAATTGTTGGTCAGGTATCTCAATATAATTTTCTTCCAGCTGTATATGTTTTTTAAACTGGGGTAAATAGAGCGGACTTGTTTGGGGCCATTTAATGTTGAGGACCAACAGGGGGTTCCTCTGGCCCATCCAACCTTAGGCAGTGTTGTATCAAACCTTTGATTTAATCCCATTAATGTCCATTTTATTTCTCTCATCTTAAAATAACCACCTAAAGATTTCTTTATCCATTTGGGACAAGCCCCTTTAAAATTTCCACCTGGTTGGGAAAAAGGTCTCTAGACTTCAGGTTTTTTCTTAGTCTGTTAATCAATCTAATTAACACTAATTATTCTAATGTTTTCATTAGCATCTGTAAGACCCATTGAGGGAAAGAAGAGACCATAAATAGAATTCCCAAAATGGTTTTTCTTGTTTGTTTTAAACTAAAGGAGTTCTTAGGTTAACCATTAGATATATTTTTTTTCCACTTTTTTAAATAGGCACCAATAAAACAGCTGTTTATAATGAGAGTCTCTAATTTACCAATTTAGAGTTTTTCCCATTTAAAGGATCCATCATCTGCCTTTAATGAGATATATCTTAACAGTGACTCAAACCAACAAGACACAAGAAGCTTCCCCACAAGAGAGTGTGAAGGATGCCCCCTAAACAAGATCCAGAAAGTTTATTCCCCAAAACAGTCTAAGAAAGTAAAGGCCTTCATTGTACTTCCTGATGCAAGGAAGTTAAAATGGTAAAAATCCCGAGAGTTGGCACAGACAAAAGACTGCTCAGAATCCCAGTCTAATCTACTGGCGGCCAAAAGTACACCACATGTATACCTTTTGGATGGCAGAGACCGAGTTCTCAAAACATACATCCACACATACATGTGGTGCACTTCTGGCTGCCAGTACAGTTTTTGCCTGGTCGTCAAAGAAACATGTGGCCCTGCGTTATCCTGATGGAAGAGTATGCGTTTTCTGTTGACTAATTCCGGATACTCTTCGTTGAGTGCTTTCAGTTGGTCTAACTGGGAGCAGTACTTGCTGGAATCGTTTGGTTTTCTGGAAGGAGCTTATAATAGAGGACTCCCTTCCAATCCTACCATATACACAATGTCACCTTCTTTGGATAAAGACCAGCCTTTGGTGTGGTTGGTGGTGGTTCATTTCCCTTGCCCCATGATCTCTTCCATTCCACATTATTGTACAGTATCCACTTTTCATTGCCCGTCACAATTTGTTTTAAAAACGGAATGTTTTCGTCATGTTTAAGTAAAGAATTGCATGCGGAAACACGTTCAAGGTTTTCTTCGCTTAACTTATGTGGAGCCCAAACATCAAAGCAATTAACATAACCAAGCCGGTGCAAATGATTTTCAGCGCTTGATTTGGATATTTTGAGTATGTCGGCTATCTCCCAGGTGGTATAACGTTGATTGTTCTCAACTGTTCTCAATTAATGTCTCAATTTGATCGCTATCAACTTTAACTAGCTGACCGTCTTGGAGAACCATCCAACGAGAAATCTCCAGCATGAAACTTCACAGACCACTTTTGACATGTTCGACCAGTCACAGCACCTTCTCCATACACTGCACGAATCTTTTTTTGCATTTCAGTTGTGTTTTTTACCTTTCTTGAAATAATAAAGTATAATATGCCGAAAATGTTGCTTTTTTTCTTCCATCTTCAATATTAAAATGGCTACACAAAAATTCACCAATTTTGATAAGTTTTTTTTTTAAATGCACGCTGATATGACAGCTGTCACAATACAATCTAACATAATTGTTTCAAATGACATTAAAGACAATTAAGCGCTACTAGAGCCACCTTACAGAAAAAACTGAATGAACATTTTGGCCAACCCAATAAGTACTCGTAAGCTTTATTTTTTATTTAATTTTTTAAAAGTTTCTTTTGAGGTGGACCATTTTTAAAGCCTTTATTTGTTACAATATTACTTGTTTTTTTTTTTTTACGTTTTGGTTTTTTGGCTGTGAGGCATGTAGGATCTTAGCTCCCCCACGAGGGATCAAACCCACACCCCTTGCATTGGAAGGGGAAGCCTTAAGCACTGGACCACCAGGGAAGTCCTGGTACTTGTAAGTTTTATATGTACATAAACCTGTCTGGGATATTAGTTGGAAACTGGCCATCTGTTGTTCCTTTTTCTTTTGTTTTGGAAGCTTTGTTTCCCATTCCAAGGTTGGTTTGTTGAGATAACTTTTACTTCAACAAACTCTTTTTTTTTTTTTTTTTTAACAAACTCTATTAAAGTAGCCAATTCAAGGAAAAATGATAGGTCAGTCTTCTACTTAATTACCCAGGCCAACCCTACTCAGCGTCTTTCAAATGAGCAAAGTCCTCCCAGTCTTTCAACTGAGGATAAACCATTCAATGTCTAAACTGAGCAAAATTTTCCCAGTGTCTTTCACTGAGGATAACACAGGTACCTCTTGAAACTAAGTTTCAAAGATAACCTACTCCTCCAGAGAGTTTAAACACCACTGAATAAAACCTAGGACATCAGCCAATAACGGGAGGTCCAAGAACCAGGAAAGACTCACCCAAATTCGTCTGGACTCTCTGACGAGGTGGAGGTGCATGGACCAAAGAGGCCTGTGCTGGTACCAAGCTCCAGATCCTCGTAGAGTTAGGTGAAGGAGACAAGTCTGCTCTGGGCCCTTCGTGGTCACCAAAACCGTCAACTGAAAAAAAAAAAAAAAAAAGCACAACCTAAAAGTTGAGAATTATGTTTTATTTAGCAGATTTTCTGAGGACTTAAACCCAGAAGCTAGCCTCTCAGACTGCGCTGAGGGATTGCTCCAAAGAAGTCAGGGAGGAACCAGGATATACAGGGGTTTTTGCAACAAAAACCAGGTAGTGGGAACATCAAAAGATTATGTTAAAGAAAACCAGACATCTCACATTAATGAATTTAGCACTTTTCTAGGTATGGGAAGATGCAAGGGTCTGGGTTAACTGAAATCATTCCTTTGAAACGCACCTTAACTATCTAAGCCCAGTATCCTGATTTTCTCCATCCCATATGCCTTCAGGGTGCACAGTCGCGGGGAGGGGGGCGGGTGGCGGCAGCAATGGCTGCTGGCTTGATGTCTGCAACATCCTTTGTTTACTGATATGGCAGGTGACATTTTTCATCCACACCAGAAACCACGTCACCTTTCAGTCCCTTGGTAATCACGCCTTGTTCTTGCCCTGTCCTCAGGAGCAAAGGTTGAAGCCACGCTTCCTCCCCTTCCCCGCCACAAACAAGCAGCATCCTCAGTGGGTTGCTCCACCCTGAAACATCCGTGTCTGCAACCCACTCAAAGCAAGTTCAGTGTCATCTCTGACCTCACCACAATCTTTGAGGAAAACAAAAAATAACTCCTAATGATATGATGTGGTGTATTAGAAAGGGCAGTGACCCAGTGGCTGGGGCAGCATTCTGGTCCCCCTGGCCTCTGGGGAAATCTCTTCACCTGTCTAGGTGGGGCTCTACCTCTTCCTCTGTCAAGTGGGCACAGTGGCCTTGATAATCTCCTAGGTCTCTTGAGAGGCTAAAAGTCTAATTAAAATTTGAAAATTCAAGTGCACTAGAGAGAGACCCATAATGAAGGTCATGTCATATGAGAAAAAGTTGAAGAAATGGGGCCTTCGGGCTTCCCTGGTGGCCCAGTGGTTGAGAGTCCGCCTGCCGATGCAGGGCACACGGGTTCGTGCCCCGGTCCGGGAGGATCCCACATGCCGCGGAGCGGCTGGGCCCGTGAGCCATGGCCGCTGAGCCTGCGCGTCCGGAGCCTGTGCTCCGCAGCGGGAGAGGCCACGGCAGTGAGAGGCCCGCGTACCGCAAAAAAAAAAAAAAGAAAAAGAAAAAGAAATGGGGCCTTCTAAGAGTCTGTAAAACAGAAAGACATATTTCATAAAATCATGGATTCTTAATGTTGGAGGAGGCCTTAGAGCTGTTTTTCCAAACCCTAACGCGCACACGAACCACTTGGAGAGCCCCTTGAAATGCAGACGCTGATTTAGTAGGTCTGGGAGGGGGTCGTTTTCTCCAGGAACCACACTTGGGGGACCAAGCCTCTACGGTATATCCGTGGTTCTCACCATGACAGCTCATGGGGATCACTTGGCTCTTACCTTGATAGCACATGGGGGTCACTCGAGAAGCTTAAAAAAAAAAAACTTATGCCTGGGCTTCCTGCCGTCCCTCCTTCCCCCGCCGACGAGATTCTGATTTGTTTGGGAGGTTCCAGAACTCCCCGGTGATTCTAATCTGCAGCCACGTCTGAGAAGCCACTCCCCTAGATCAGCGCTTCTCAACTTTAGCACAGATCATCATCACCTGGAGGGCTTGTTAAAACACAGCTCACAGGGCCCCAACGCAGAGATTCTGACTCAGCAGGTCTGGGGTGCAGCCTCAAATCTGCATTTCCAACAAGCTCCTAGGTGATGCTGACTCTGCTGGTCCGGTGGCCTTGGAGGTCATCTAATTTCACAGCGATATTTCCCATGTGGGAAACCAAGATGAAATGACCCTCTCAAGGTCTCTTTGCACCGTATCTCCTGACCCCGGTCCGGAGCTATTTCCCCTGCCAATCCTTCCAGCTTTCCCTTCGCGTCCCGCATTCCTCCTCAAGTCCACGGCTGAGCCGCTAAACGCCAGCACGGACCGGTGCTCTGGGGCTCCGGGCCCCTTGTGTTGGGAGGCCCTTGAGCTGTCCCCACCTGGACAGTCCCACGCGAAGACCTGCGGTCTGGCTCTGCCGCTGCCGGGGACGCCGCACGCTGGGCTCGAACGCGTCCCTAGCCTTCTGCGAGCTCTCCCGAAATGGGTCGGAGGCGGAGCCCGCGTGAGGGGCGTGAGACGCCAGGAACACTACTGGGACCCTCGGGGAGGGTTACCATGGCAACCGACGCCCTCCCACTTGGTGATCCGACGCCCAAGCCAGGGCGGCCCGGACCGAAGAAGGGGATTGGTGCGCCAGGGGGCGGGATTGTGGGCAGAGACTATAAAGGCGCCGCGCGCGCTGAGCTCTAGTTTCTGTTCCGCGCTCCCGGACTTCTGGCCACGTGCAGCTGCAGCTCCAGCTCCGGCGCCGCAGCAGCGCGGCATCTCTGGGCGGCTGCGTCGGAAGGTCAGTGCGGAGGCGGCCGGATGCTTCCCCGGCGGCTGACCCCGGGGGCTGAGCCTCTTCAGAACCGAGGCTGACTGTGCAGGTCCTCTTGACCACATGGCCCCCGCTGGCCCGATCGGTGTGACGCGGCGCGGGACTGGAGACCCAGCGATCCCGAGCGCGAGCGGGGGTCCCCAGCAGTCGCCGCGGAGCTGGGAGGCCGGGGGAGGGCCGGGGCACTGCTGGGGTCGCCAGGTGCGGCCCGGCCCTTCCTACTTTTCTGAAGGGCACACCCTGCCAGAGAATAGGGGCGGGAGCGGCTGTTCTCATAAAACCGGTTTATCCAGCCATGCAGGGAGGCGGAAGCCGGAGACCCGCGTGCGGCCCAAGTCCCCGCGTCTTCTTGGGTTCCCTTTCCCGGGCCGGCGCGCGTAATAGGGAGTATGGGGGCGCCCGCTCCGCGAAGCCAGATCTCCCTCTAAAACCCTCTATGTAGCTCACACTGAGAGCTCCGGGATTTATTCCCCCGACCCTTTCTGGCTTTCGGATCAACCCCACCTTAAGTCTAGACTTTACCAGCTGGTTGATGGAGTCTCTACACTGACTGAGCAGTTTGCTAAGTGCTTTTCTAAATTGCTTTTATTAAATCCTCCCAGCAGTCTAATGTGGTGGTCCGATCATTTTCCCCTTTTCTAAGGATGGGGAGACCTGAGGTTTGGCGAGGTAGTGTACGCAGGCTCGCACGGCGGGCGAGGGAGGGCCGTGTCTGGCCTTGAACGCCCTCGGCTCAAGGGTGCTGTCCTCCTGGGGAGCGGTGAGGAGGAGTAACCGAGCTGTAGGGGAGGAGGGGCGGCGGGGAAGGTGCCCCCTGCGCCACCACGAGGATGTTTCCTCTGTCCTCTCTCTTAGGTACCTGATGTTATCTCTTCTCTTGAGGGAGAAGAGTGGGGGTGATGGAAGGAGGGTTTGAGACTCAACGGACCTGGTTTGCAACCCCTCCTTTTGGTAATTAGTATCTGCCCGACCTTGGGCGGGTCAAAATTCCTTCTGCAAAATGGAGAAAAGATCCCAGCTTCAGAGTTACTCTGAGGCTTAAATAAGCGTTCAGGAAAGCAGGTGCTTCGTCAGCGCTCAGTAGTTGAGGTGCCTGATTTTTCCTTGGGTCATTACTAGGAAGAGGACACGTTTGCTTTTATGATTTAATGAACTGGAGGATGTAAAGCGGAGACTGCCTTGCAAATGTGTCTTAGAAGCGTTATTAGTCCTTAGAAGCGTTATTAACAACTTCTCCGGGGCCAGGAAGTTGTCAACTGGGCAGTGACTGACCTTTGGTGAAAGCAGTTCCACTGGATGCAGAGTAAGAGGCCCCACTTGGAGAGGCAGGGAACTCTCTGGAGATCCTTGAGATGGGAAGGAAAGGTAAAGGCTGGAGGAGAATAATAGGTTTCAGCAGGTTTATAAGCACAGGGAAAAGAACCATTTAGGGGGTTCGGTGAGACAAGGGCTGGGGAGTTTGGACGGGACGGGGGTTTGATGGGTCTCTGGGGTGGCGTTGATCTCCACTGGGCGAATCTTCTAGCTCCTCAGTAGTATATTTATGCACTGACCATTTCTTGGGGCTGGATTTTTTAAAAATTTAAGTTGTGGCTTCAATTACATCACAAAATTTACCATCTTAACCATTTTTAAGAGTACAGTTCAGTACCGTCAGGTATATTCACAGTGGATCTCTAGAACTTTTTTATCCTGCAAAACTGAAGCTATGCCTGTTAATTGAATACTCGTATCCCCTCCCCCTTGTTCCCACCCCTTGGCAACTACCTTTCTACTTCCTGTTTCTGTGATTTTTTTTTTTAATTTAATTTTATTTATTTATGGCTGTGTTGGGTCTTCGTTTCTGTGCAAGGGCTTTCTCTAGTTGCGGCAAGTGGGGGCCACCCTTCATCGCGGTGCGCGGGCCTCTCACTATCGCGGCCTCTCTTGCTGCAGAGCACAGGCTCCAGACGCGCAGGCTCAGTAATTGTGGCTCACGGGCCTAGTTGCTCCGCGGCATGTGGGATCTTCCCGGACCAGGGCTCGAACCCGTGTCCCCTGCATTGGCAGGCAGATTTTAAACCACTGCGCCACCAGGGAAGCCCTCTGTGATTTTTTGGATTACTTTAGATAACTGGTATAACTCATGTGAATGGAATCATACTGTATTTGGCCTTTTTAAATATAAATTTATTTATTTTTGGCTGCATTGGGTCTTTGTTGCTGCGTGCAGCTTTCGGCGAGCGGGGGCTACTCTCCGTTGCGGTGCGCGGGCTTCCCATTGCTGTGGCTTCTCTTGTTGCAGAGCACGGGCTCTAGGCACGTGGGCTCAGTAGTTGTGGAGCACGGGCTCTAGAGCGCAGGCTCAGTAGTTGTGGCGCACGGGCTTAGTTGCTCCGCAGCATGTGGGATCTTCCCGGACCAGGGGTCGAACGCACGTCCCCCGCACTGGCAGGTGGATTCTTAACCACGGTGCCACCAGGGAAGCCCACATTTGGCCTTTTGTGACCAGTTCATTTCACTCAGCATAATGTCCTCCAGGTTCATCCATGTTGCTGCATGTGACGGGATCTCCTATTTCAAGTCTGAGTAATATGCCATTGTCTGTATATACCACATTTTCTTTCTCCATTCCTCTGTTGGAGGCTGGATGCTTTTAGCTTCAGGCTAAATGTGCTGGAGACGTTAATACATCTTTATTTACTGTCTCCGTGGCTAAGGATGATTAAAGCTAGAAATCTGGGGAAAACACAAGATAGCAAGAATATTAAGGGAAACTGATGGCGCATTCTCAGGGAAAGGGCCTATTTCGTTGGTTTTCAATATTTCAAATTGGAGTTTCTTTGAATATTTCTGAAATAGAAGTATCTGTCTTCAGAGCAATCGCAATTGAATTCAGGTTTTGTTCCCCAGGAAACAGAAGTCATGTTTTCTGACAACAGGGGACATTCTGTTTATTGTGATGTAGACAAACCCCTGTTATTTCTTGGTTTCTTCTTCCTGCCTACCTGTTTGACATGGTGGTTGAGTTCTGACATGCATCGGGCACTGCTAGGAACTGCTCAGTGGGACTCACAGCTCCATGGGAAAGGCAGCCATACTGGCTCCTGGCACCTAAAACCAACATGTCCAAAACCAAGCTCGTTTGTCTTCTTACCTGACCTGCTCCTCCAGAAAGCCCGTGCTTACAGCAGCACAACTTGGAAGGCTGTGTTATTCTCCTCCATTCCTTCACAAGTTGCCCCACATCCAAGCAGTCAAGGCCAGTTGGGCTCTGAGTCTGTATCTCTATCACCCCCACTGTCTTCCTGACACCACTGCTTTCTTAGAGTTCTGCTCTGGTAAGTGCAGAAAGGGTAAATGCCGGGAGATGGGAAGAGTCATGTAACTGAGGCTTGGGCCGGGGAGACGCTCCATTATTTAAGGAGGAATGTCTGTTGGCCAGTTTCTTTTTCATCCCTTGGAGTCAAAGTAAGCAAGGTGCTTAGGGGAGAAGGTCTATGGACTCTCATCTGATCTTCAGTCATCTTTGACGGTTCCCCTGTATAAGTTTAATAACTAGCTTGGCAAAGCAAGTTTTACTTTAGAACAGCTGTTCTCAAGTGTGATCTGGGGAGCCCTGGGGTTCCTTGAGACCTCTGTAGGGTCCATGAGGTCAAGGTTATTTAAAAAAAAATACCAAGAGACTGTCTGCCTTTTTCATTCTTTCTCTCTCAGGTGTATGGTGGAGTTTTCTAGAGGCCAAATGGCTTGTGATGAGCTTTTCCTCTGATGGCTAATGAGATGTGTGCTTGTGTACTCTTGTGTTTCTAGAATCTTCTAAGGATAGTAGGCTTAGAGTATAAATATGTGCATTTTAAGAGATGAACTCTGTTCTTAGTACTTCTTTGCATTCTTACTAGCTACCTGCAGTTATAGCTGCTGTCATCTCTGGGGCCTGTTTTCTTTTAATAAGTCATTACTTTGAAACCCCTAAATTGAGTCTTGTGGGTATATGGAAAAAGAACAAAAAGTTTATAGTCTTGATTTTAAAACTTTTCTAAAATTTTAAATGGTATAAAAATTCTTTTGAACTTAATATTTTATTCTAACATAAAAGGATATTAATTTATATTTTTTTTATATTTAAGGATAGATCAATGGTTTAAAAAGGGGGATATTAGAACACTCGATTTTTTTCAACTCATAGCTGTACCATGTGTATAAATGCTGAAAAAAAAATGAAACAACAACATAACGGAGTTCTCTGACTCATGAAAAGAGGAATTTACTCCAAATAAATGTGCAGAACTAAATAATACATAAAAATATGAAGGCTTTCGTCAAGTTTTACAGATGTCAGAAATTTACCATATGTGTCTGATGCCACAGAACTTTTTTGAATAGTATTTTGGTCGCAATAGCATTATTCTTAGACCAACCATTCATCATCTGAAGAAAAATAAAACAAATGAATTAAATGTAGATATGATGAGCTCTTTAAAAACCAAAAATTTGGTACAGCTTTCCAAACTAGAAAAGAAAAAGCTATTAAGATAGGTTATCAAATTGCAGTGGCTGGAGAAACACACAATAAAACCTTGTTTGGATGAAAAAGCATTGAAAGAAATAATAGCACTGCCACTTTCTAATAATACAGTAACTTGTCAAATTAAAGATTTAGCTACAAATATGAAGACTAGTTTGGTATCTTGACAGAGAAGGGTATTTTTTCCTTACAAATGGAAGAATTTGTAGTCATGGCTGCACTTACCATTTTGTTTGTATTTATCTGGTATCAGCGCCAAAGCAATTATCAAAGAATATCTTTTTGGTGAACGTTTGACAGAAAACACAAATAGTGCCAAAGTATTCAGTGTGGAATAACTTTTTTGAATTTCATGGTTTATTCCGGAACAACTGTGTTGAATTTGCACTGACGGTGCACAAGTCACACCTGCTAAAAGTACTGGTGCCTTTGCAGGAATCAAGGCAGTGGCACTAAGTGGTACTAGAAGTCATGGTATTCTTCACTGCCATGTACTTCCAGTGAAAAATAAAGTTAAAAAATGGAAAGCTTTACTTAAGAATGCCCTTTATGAAGCAGTAGAAATGACTGATTTTATTAAATCTTGACCCTAGAGACATCTTTTTAACGTGTCATGTGGTAAGTGGATGTACTTGTTCCATATTGAAATATGATGGTTGTCTTGAGAGAAAGCGTTTTGTGTGATTGAATTGTGAGCTGAACTGGTCCCTGTTTTTCATAGAGAACCATTTTTGCTTGAAAGAATGACTGACAAACGATGGTTATTCATACCTGGATAATCGGCACACATTTTCTTAAAAGAATGAACCAAGCAATCCTGCCAAGGTATTTGTTGCAAGTTAAGTTGTATCCACTACCGTGAATTTGACAGCTTCCCAATACTTAGAAATTTTCTGATGAGATCAGTGATAGCAACCAGTATGACTTTTGGGTATTGTACAGTGAAGTGTGTTAACAGTTGGAAGCTCTGCATAACTTACTGAACCAATATTTTCCAAAAAACAATGTATGAAATTACAAAACCATGCAGGAGTAAAAGATGTGTTCAAGGGATTTCCCTGGCGGACCAGTGGCTATGACTTTGCCTTCCAGTGAAGGGGGTGCAGGTTCAATCCCTGGTCCGGGAGCTAAGATTCCTGCATGTCTTGCAGCCAAAAAACCAAAACATAAAACAGAAGCAATATTGTAACAAATTCAATAAAGACTTTAAAAATGGTCCACATCAAAAAAATCTTTAAAAAAAAAGATGTGTTCAAAGCATTAGATATGCCAGTGGGTTTTAATGTAGCAGGTACAAAAGTTTACTGATAATGGCTTCAGATTCTACGTTGCAACTAACCTTGAAGAAACTAGCATGTGTTGAGTTTTGGATATCCAAGATGAGTATCCAGAATTATCTGAAAAGGCTTTCAAAATACGGCTTCCTTTCCCCACTGCTTTGCTTTGAGTCTTGATTTTCTTCATTTACTTCAATCAAAGCAGCAGACAGATTGAGTTAGAAGCAGATGTGAGAATCCAGCTGTTTTCTATGAAGGAAAACATCAAAGAGACAAGTAAATGTAAAACAGTGCCACTCAGTAAATTTTTTGTTTTGGAAAATACAGTTATTTTCATAAAATATGTTTATTTTAACATGTTTATTGGTTTTAAATGAACTCATTCATAGGTTAAATGTTTCTCAGTTTTGTTGTCTACTACAGCAAACATTGTTAGATAGACCCCACTTAAACAAAAGCTCTCTGTAGTCCCCAATTTTTAAGAGTGTAAAAGAGTCCAGAGACCAGAAAATTTGAGAGCTGCTGCCTTAAAAGTATCAAATTGAGTTTGGCAGTGGCAAGATAATAATCTTGACTTGAAAAAGCTACATGCGGTAGATGGTTGGAGGGTTTTTTGGGTTTGTTTTTAATGTACATGCATTGTTAATCAAAGCAATCCCATTATAGGGACAGTAGAGCTGCTTGACGGTTAAGAACTGGGTTCCCTGAGAGGGGTGGTGCTTGCCATGGTTAAATGCTGTAATTCAGAAAGACATTCACAGGCCTCTGGCCTGTCGTGAACATCAGATGTTAGCTAGTAATAGTAGTGGAATAAGAACCAACTCAAGCATGAATTGTCCACATTGTTAAACTAAAATACTTTATATTCAATTAAGAATTTGTGCCTCCTTCATGCTTTCCCCTTCTGGGGAAAGAGAAGATGAACTGAGTCGTACGTATTTCACATCCCTGTTTCATGTCTTCAGGGTTTACCTTTTCCCAGACTCCAGTGTCTTCAACCTTTAAAAGAAAAAAAAAGAAAAAAAAACCGAACTTCTTCACCTGTGGCCATCACTACTTTGCTTCTGGGAACTGAGAATTGTCTTTGAGTTTCAGATGTTCTGGTAAATCTGGCTGCTTCTTGGCTTCCTCGCCATCCTCGTGAACTTGCTGAAATAAGTGACTTTAAGAATCAAAGTTCTTACCTGGTCTCGGGTGTCAGCAGTGGCTGCAAAGATGGTTTGAAGGGATGATGGAAGAAAAGCTGGGGTCTCTCCTATGGCGACCTCCCTTCCAATCCGGAGATGTACCATCAGAAGGTTGTCTTCTGCTTGTTTGGAAAGTTAGCTGGGATGCAGGGCCTCAGGACCTTGGCGGGGCTGCGTCTCAGGCTGCGGATCTGATGGGCCAAGCCCCTGACCCGACAGAAGCCATCGGGGCTCTGCCCCGCCTTATTTCGGTGTCCTAAAGAACAAGACCTCTGTGGCTCACAAAAGGGTGTTCAAGCATAGGGTTTCAGCAGATTGTATTGCCCTTTTGTTTGTATAATCTGGATTTTAGGGATTGCAGGAAAGCTTCTGATACCTCTGGCGGTTTTAACTTAGAATTACTGTTACCTATTCAAGGCACTGGGTTGAGGGGCTAAGTTCAGACCCTAAATGGGAAATGTCTCCAAGTGTGGTTTACTTTTTCTTGTTTTATGATGCAAAATAGAAGATGGTTGAGATCTGGCCACTTCTTTGTGAGGGGGTTGGGCACTGGGGCCGCTCTGAAGGCTCATCCGCCAGTGCTGTTGGAAATCTGATGGCTGACGGACGTGGAGGCCACGGGCAGTGTGCAGAGTGCAAAGGCCTGAGCTCTGGGGGCAGGAAGGTCGCTGTTAGAACTGAGTAGCTCTGATCTGCTCTTGTGACATGCTTGCCTGGGTAAAGCTGACTAGGAAGGGGAGCTGGACTGCAATGAAATATACATGATCTGGGAACAGAGGAGAAAATGGCTTTTCTAAATGATCCTTCCTAAAGAGTTGGCAGTGAAACAGAAATTAGTCACAGCTTACTCAGTATTGCCGGGGGCCTTTTCACCTTAACTGTTTGCTTTTCTAGTCTGGTTCATCCTAACAATAACATCTGAGTTAGCACGAGAGTCACAGGGCTCTGAGTTATTTAATCGGGGACCTGTTCACTCCTCAATGATTACAGTTGTGAAGATCTGAGGCCTTTGCGGGATCCATGATGTTCCTGGCGTGGACGGCTCTGTACGCAGTAACTTCCGCCGTGACTTTAGATCCCAGTCGGTGTCAGCCCTGTGCGGCTCCAGTTCTAAATCTCGGCCAGTCTTTGTTTGCCTGCACTTTGCACCAGTGACGTTTATCCCCTTTTCACAGGGCTGGGCTCACAGGGCGGGCTCTTGACTGGCTCCCTGTCTGCACAATCAGTAGTCTCTCTAGTTTGATTCATGAATCCAGAACATGGCCTTGCTCGTGAGCCGGCGATCTTAGTGTTAGTTGTGGTTAAAGGGTTTGTGTTTTGAGGGGTCGGGAGGGTAAGCAGTGACATACTGAACTCTGCTTCTTTTGTTTGTTTTTTTAAATTTTATTGACATATAGTTGATTTACAGTGTTGTGTCAATTTCTGCTATACAGCAAAGTGACTCAGTTATACAGATATGTATATATTCTTTTTCATATTCTTTTCCATTATGATTGGTCACAGGATAGTGAATATAGTTCCCCGTGCTATACGGTAGGACCTTGTTGTCTATCCATTCTATATATAATAGTTGGCCTCTGCTAATCCCAAACTCCCATTCCTTCCCTCCCCCACCCAGCCTCCCCCCTTGGCAACTATCGATACAAGTCTGTTCTCTATATCTGTGAGTCTGTTTTGTTTCGTAGATATGTTGATTAGTATCGTATTTTAGATTCCACATATAAATGATATGTGGTATTTGTCTTTGTCTAGCTTACTTCACTTAGTATGATAATCTCTAGGTCCATCCATGTTGCTGCAAATGGCATTATTTCATTCTTTTTGATGGTTGAGTAATATTCCAGTGTGTGTGTGTGTGTGTGTGTGTGTGTGTGTGTGTGTGTGTGTGTGTGTGTGTGTACACACACACACATCTTCTTTATCCATATCCATCTGTTGGTGGACTCTTAGGTTCCATGTCTTGCCTAGTATAAATAGCGCTGCAGTGAACATTGCGGGGGGTGCATGTATCTTTTCTCAACTCTGCTCCTTTCGTGTTGCAGTGTCTGCAGAGATCATGCCAGTCGTTTGGATGCTGCGGCGGGTTGCCAGCCGGATGCTACAGAGACCGGCCTGTGGCTGCCAGGCTCCTGTCCTGCCCAGCCGGTTTCTGGGCACCTCCCCTCAGCAGATTCCAGCGGATGCCAACTACCACTCTACCTCGTTCTCTGAAGCAGACCAACCGCGCGTCTTAATTACAGGTTGGGTTTTTTTCTTTTTTCCACATTTGTGGCTTTGTTATTTTCTTTGTGTGCCGGTGTATTTATTATTGGAATGTCTAACATGCCGCCAGGTAACACTTATTAATCAGAAACTCCCTTTTCCACTCCTGGCTCCCTCCGAAATAGCACAAGTCCCCTGTCCTTATTTTGCCGCTGTTGCCAGGGCTTGGTTTCCCTGCCCAAATCTTTTATTGTCTGAAGGGAGGATCTGGGAACCTGAAGAGGCCCAAAAAGCTGCTGTGCGACTCAGTTCCCCTTTCCTGCGAGGAAGGGCCTGGGAGCCAAGGTGTGTGGGTAGAACGTGGCCTCTGGAATCAGGCGCCTCTTTCCTTGGCCAGGCTTCTCAGGCCAGGCAGTTCCTGCACATGTGTATGGAAGGGATAGCCAGGGCCTGCCCAGGGCCTGAGGAACGCCTCACCATCACCTCGTGACACTTGCGGCTTACTGTCCACGGACTGGCCCGCTGACCCCTCTCCCCTCGTAGCCACCCAACACCTGGTTCTGTATCTGCTCACTGCAAACTTGACCATCTGTCTGCAAGTCCTTCCAGCTGACTCAAGCCCCCCTCTGATTTGACTGACGTGTTTTATTGTCCTCTGTTTGCCAGAGTTTCATCCCTTGGCCTCACGTCCTTATCCTTCTTACATTCCTCAGTGTGTGTGTGTTTCTTTCACTGGCACCTCCTCTTCCTCTCCTGCTGTAACTGGGTTTCCGGTGAGGCCAGTTCCCTCTGCATTTCCCCACTGGCTCTCCCAGCTTCTTGTCTGTGTGTTTGATTCCCTCCTCCCTGCACCAACAAAGCATCTTCCAGGGCCCAGTGTTACCGTCAGTGGGCTGGTTTCAGTCCCATGTTAACACACGCTTACAGGAAATCCCACTGTCCATATCTTCCTGCCTCTTACTTTCTCCCAAATGGAATCTAGGGTTGTATTCCCCTGAATGTGTTCCCAGACCCCTAGCTCTCCCATTTCCATCAATGGCATTTGTAAGCGTCCAAATTAAGATGCTGTAATACTCATCTTTAATGTTCTGAGCAGCTCCTTGCCCATCCAGATTTCTGCCCCTTTTTTCAGGTGACTTCTTGGTTTGTCCCTTCTTTCTTTCTCCCTTCCTGTTCCTCTCCAGGTCTAATGGAAGGAGGGTGCTCTGCATAATCTCAGCAGAGGTTGATATCAAACTATTATATCTAGCTTTGAGTGTTCTGGTACCCGTAGCAGATAATTTTCACAGCCCATCAAATAACAAAGGCGAAGCTCGTAGTGATTTCCTGACCAGGAGGTCAGGAAGGCCCTGCTCTTCTTACCTGTACCCTGGCTTCCCCTCAGCCCCTCTGTGCTGGAGAGCACTTTTGTCTCTGGAACTAATCTTACCGGTACCCGATCTCTGTCATAGCTCCGAGGAGGTAATTCCGTTCTATCAGGCCAACCTGGGGCTTTACCTAGTTAGCTAAGAGTGCCAGTAGAGTTTTCTTCTATTATTACATACTGGGAATAATTGAATTGGTTAGATTTAGATTAAAGATTCACTTTTTTCTTCTTTATCCAGGGGGTCTTGGCCAGCTTGGAGTGGGGCTTGCTAGCTTTTTGAGGTAAGAGCTCGCAAAGTTTCCATTTAAATTCTGAGCTTTTCAGGGCTTGTCTTTGGCCCCATGTAACCATTGAATCTTTTCTCTCCCCTCTTGCTTCTCTCCCCTCTTGCGTACGTTAAGATATCGTATGTAAATGACCGTTTGGAATGCATTTCATTGTGCCTCTTCATATCACAGACAATGTTTCAGGTCCTCGACTCAGCAGCCCCCAAGCTGGTCCTTCGCCCTCTGCCTTTCCTAGGTTAGGCAAAGTAAGACCTGCCTCTCAGTAAATCACTTGGTTTTCAGATGTTTGGGGGCAGAGGGAAGTATTGTATGTGTAGAAACTAAAAGGAACAGTGTGGGATTTGGAGAGTGGGATAAAAGGATAAGAGGAGAGAAGAACGGGGAGGCAAAGGGAAAAACTCAGGGGCACTGGGAAGAAATTGGTGACAGATACCGGGATGATAATGGGCTGAGGTAGAAGCAGGAGGTACAGCCCTGAGTGTGTCTGCAACTGCAGGGCTGTGAGTTGAGGACAAGAGGGAAGAAGGGTGTGAAGAGGAGGGATTTGGAGGCTGACGGGACATGACAGTTCCTGTTGGAAAGACTGTTTTCATAGGACCTGTTATGTCCTCCGTGTACCAACTCGTGTGTTTGATTTTCCCTTTAGGAAACGATTTGGGAAGGACAACGTGATTCTGTCTGACATTCGGAAGCCCCCTGAGCACGTCTTCCTTAGTGGTAAGAGGCTCACAGAGCAGGTAGAGAGGCAGCTCCCAGAATCGATGTCACCGCTCATAACCAGGCTTGTGAATTAAAGAAAGAGGAGTATTTGAGGCACACCTGTGCCGCTTAAAAATGTTTCATGGTTTTGTCCTCATTAGTTCTGTAAAAAGCCTACGGTACAGCTACTGCTTGTTCAAGGGATCCAAGGACAGGAGAGTTCTTCAGACCTTGACATGAAGTTGTGGAATAGTATCTTTGGATATTATTTGGAGCAGTATCTGTGGGATAAAACTGATTCCTGTCTTTCAGAGTTTTCAGTGAACTTAGCTCGGAGAGAAAGCAGACAAAAATCAGGTTCTGAAATGAGGAAAAGGAACTTTAAATTTTGGAGAAATTAATCCTCATGTTTCAACGTGAACTTGTTCTTAACTACTGTGCACACACACAGACCCCAGGCTCCTCTAGTCAGGTTGTCTACACCTCCAAGATGTTTTCATAATTCCAGTCCTTCCTGGTTCTGTGTCAGCCTTTTGCTGTTTACCATGGGGAAGAGCGGTAATTTGCTGAAAGTGGGGGAAATTGGCATAAAAAATCGGCTCTGCCTCTAGCCTAACCAGGTGTGGCGAACTCTTAATTTACAGTTCTTTTATACCATGGTGGGTTTTTTGTTTTTGTAAACCCATTTCTCTATTCCTTTAAAATATGCAACATTTTTTTTTTTTTTTTTCTGCATCACGCGGCATGCGGATCTTCCCCAACCAGGGATTGAACCCGTGCCCCCTGCACTGGAAGCGCAGAGTCTTAACCACTGGACCACCAGGGAAGTCCTAAACTATGCAACTTTTTTTTTTTTTTTTTTACAAGGGAACACTATTTATTCATTTTTGCTGTGTTGGGTCTTCGTTTTTGTGCGAGGGCTTTCTCTAGTTGTGGCAAGTGGGGGCCACACTTCATCGCAGTGCGCGGGCCTCTCACTGTCGCGGCCTCTCGTTGGGGAGCACAGGCTCCAGACGCACAGGCTCAGTAGTTGTGGCTCACGGGCCTAGTTGCTCCGCAGCATGTGGGATCTTCCCACACCAGGGCTCGAACCTGTGTCCCCTGCATTGGCAGGCAGATTCTCAACCACTGCGCCACCAGGGAAGCCCTATGCAACTTTTAAGCAGGGTGAAATCTCTGTGTGCCTATAGGTTTGGCAACTCAAGCCAGTTGCCTGGTCATTACTCCAGTTCTTAATTTTATTCTGTTTGATACTGGCAAGCTACTTAACCTCTCTATGCCCCAGTTTCCTCATCAACAAAATATCCGCCTCGAAGACTGTGAGAGTTAAACATACAGAAAGCCCTTAGAACAGCGCCCAGCAGGTGTGTGTCCTGTATAAGCATTAGCTGCTGTTAGCCGTGGGGTGGCTGGGATTTGTTATTCTCCGTAAGGAAAATGCTGGGGAGTGTCCAAGTTGTTATCAAGTCGGTACCAGTGGAATTCAAAGTCAGCGGGGGAGGGGAAAAGATCTGTTGAGCTTTTCAAGCCCGGAACTCTTTTACTTCCTGGTTTCACTGCTCCTTGCAGGCCCGTTTATTTATTCCGACATCCTGGATTACAAGAATCTGCGGGAGATCGTGGTGAACAACCGTGTCACCTGGCTGTTTCATTACAGCGCTCTGCTCAGTGCAGTGGGAGAAGCAAACGTGTCCCTGGCCAGAGCTGTGAACATCACTGGTGAGTCTCTGGGTCTTGCCCCAGATGACCCGTCTGCCAGATTTCCCAGTTCTTTGGGAAGAGGTTTCCCAGTTTACGACATCTGCTTGTTTCAGGACTGCACAACGTCCTGGACGTTGCCAAGGAGCACGGTCTGCGATTGTTTGTGCCAAGCACCATCGGGGCATTTGGACCTACTTCTCCGCGGAACCCAACCCCCGATCTCTGTATCCAGAGACCCAGGACTATCTACGGGGTGTCCAAGGTCCACGCGGAGCTCATGGGCGAGGTAAGCATCACTTGGCAAGATGACGCAGTGTTTCCTTTTCTATTTCTGCCTCAAACACCTGCTGGTTCATCCTTGGAGGGGACTCTCTCCCTCCCTTAATCTCTGCCCCCAGAAATGCTCGGGGACTGAGTGCGTTTGCCAAGTGGTCAGTACCGACAGCTCCAGAGGAATCCTCAGTCCTGTGCTAACACAACACTTCGTACACGCCCCTCGAACGGCACCCCGTCTTTCGTTTGCTGCCCATCTTATTTGTACTGCACTGTTCTTTCAGGTTCCCAATATTGGTAGTTATCAGAGGTAATTTTAAAATAACCTCAGACATCTTTTTGGTTTTATTTTTTAATACGCTTTTGTCTTTATAACTCTATAGCACATTTTAGCCGGTTTCTGATCCTTCATCTAATATATCACAGTTACCATCTTTCCCTGTACTCCTCCCCGCACTGCACCACAGGACAGGCTTGTGGAGGTTTGTTCAGGACTGTGTGCAGGGTCTCCCTTCCAAAGAAAGGCTGGAAATCCTTACTCTCGGCTGATCTGTTATTTACAGTGTTATCTAGTGATGTTATCAGCAGAATGACGATTCTTTGAAGATAAAAACTTCAGGGTTATTTGTTAAAGAAAAATGAGTGACTGTTAGCAATTCTAGAGCCTTCATTTCCTTGAGGAGGATTTATTTTTATTTATTTATTTTTTTCACTTAAAAAATATTTATTTGGCTGCGCGGGATCTTCATTGCAACATGCGGGATCATTTTCTTTTCTTTTTTTTTTTTTTGGTTGCAGCATGTGGGATCTAGTTCCCTGACCAGGGATTGAAACTGTGCCCCCTGCATTGGGAGCACAGAGTCTTAACCACTGGACCCCCAGGGAAGTTCTACGAGGATTTTAATATGACTGTATGGGATGAAGTTTCAGGAGACAGCTGTTATTTCTTTGCATTGCTCTACCTGATTTAAAAGATTCTTTTTAAAGTAAGTTTTCTCTTTTTTGTAGTATTATTATTACCGGTATGGGTTAGATTTCCGATGCCTGAGATATCCTGGAATCATTTCTGCTGACTCCCAGCCTGGAGGAGGAACGACTGGTAAGTGTTATTTTCGATTTCTTTTTTCACATAAGATAAGCTTTCTAATGGCCGGGCAAAGTGGAGATGGATCTGTTGTCTTTTTAGTCGTATGCTGACCGGAGTTTTTGCATCCTTTCTGGGAAGTGCATCTGAGAAGCTCATTGAACCCTACTGACTTAAACTTAAACTCATGCCGATGCTGTAAGTCCAGTGGGATTGGCCACGCACAGTGCCGGAGTCAAACTGACATTCGAGTTTGTTACCCACAGTGTAGGAAGACACCAAATGAGAAATCACCTCTTGGGAATTCCCCGGCGGTCCAGTGGTTAGAGCTCGACGCTTTCGCTGCTGTGGGCCTGGGTTCAATCCCTGGTCGGGGAACTAAGATCCCACAAGCTGCGTGGTGCGGCCAGAAAAGAAAAGCCTTTGAATCTTTGAATCTACCTTTGTTTCTTCATACAGAGAGTTCTATTAAAATGGACTCTGCATCTTCAGAAAGAACATAAGCATTGCTCCCGCCGCTCTTGTCATCGTGTCTATTGCTGTTTATCCAAATTGTCTTAGCGTTTATTTCAGAAAAGCTTGCCCCCAAATGAGAGTGGGTTACTGCTCATCTCTAGTGCCGTCGGTTACCTGTCTGTTTAGGAGCCTGTATTATTCATTGGTGACTGGAGCACCAGGCCTGCTTAACTTCATTTTTTTCTTTTTTCTTTTACCGAGGAATAGTGAATTTACGATATTGTATACGTTTCAGGTGTACAACATAGTGATTCACGGTTTTTAAAGGTTGTATTCCATTTATAGTTATAAAATATTGGCTAGATTCCCTTGTCTGTAAAATGTATCCTTGTAGCTTATTTGGTTTCTGCATAGTAGTTTGTACCTCTTAATCCGCTACCCCTATCTTGCCCCTCCCCACTTCCCTCTCCCTAATGGTAACCACTAGTCTGTTCTCTATGTCTGGGAGTCTGTTTCTTTTCTGTTGTATTCACTAGTCTGTTTATTTTTTAGATCCCACATATAAGTGATATCATTTATTTGTTTTTCTCTGACTTATTTCACTAAGCAAAATACCTTCCAAGTTCATCCATGTTGTTGCATATGGCAAATTTTCATTCTTTTTTATGAGTATTTCATTGTGTGTGTGTGTGTGTGTACATATATATATATATATATATATATATATATATATATATATATATACGTTGTGTCACATCTTCTTTATCCATTCATCTGTCGATGGACACTTAGGTTGCTTCCATGTCTTGGCTATTGTAAATAGTGCCGCAAGGGACATTGGGCTGCGTGTATCTTTTCGAATTGGTGTTTTTATTTTCTTCGAATATGTACCCAGGTCATATGGTGGTTCTATTTTTAGTTTTTTTGAGGACCCTCCCTACCGTTTCCACACTGTTGTTGTTATCATTTTGGACTTGAGCATGTGTTATATTCAGTAACTCCCACATTAGAGATCCCTCCCATATGAGGGCTTCTGAGATACAGTGTAAAAGATACTTGACAAAATCCAAGGGGTTTTTACTGTAGATTTGTAGTATTGTCTGAAGTCCGAGAGGGTCGTGCCTCCAGCTTCGTTCTTTTTCCTCGGGGTCACTTTGGCAATTCTGAGTCTCTTGTGGCTCCATATAACTTTTAGGATTATTTCTTCTAGTTCTGTGAAAAGTGTCATGGGTAATTTGATAGGGATCGCAGTAAGTCTGTAGAGAGCTTTGGGTGTATGTCCATTTTAACAATACTAATTCTTCCAGTCCAAGAGCATGGGATATCTTCCCATTTCTTTGAATATCTTCAATTAAAATTTGAGGGATTTTAAAAGTGCCTTTGGTTTTGGTTACTTTAAAAAATTTTGCCTTAATGTGGTGCATCTCCAAGTGTGCACTAGGAACCCCTAGGAATCCTTGAGACCCTTTCAAGGGGTCCAGGAGGTCAAAATAATTTTCCTATCAGTACTAAGATGTTATTGCCCTTTTCACTCTCCTTTACAAGTACACCGTGGAGTTTTTCAGAGGCTACATGTTGTGTGTAGCGCAGTGGACCGAACACAGAAGCAGAGATTCCCGCTGTCGCCCATTAAGACAGTAGAGAGGTTTTCAAAATGTAAAACACGCTGTTCTTCTCACTAAATTTTCTCTTGTTTGGAAAATGCGTTCTTTTTCACATAAAATATTATACATGTGAATGTGTGGGTTTATTATTGTCATTTTAAAATGCAGACTTTTTTTTTTAATTCTCAGTTGATTTGTGATATAGTAGCTGTTGCTACAGCTCACCTTAATAGAACCTCTTTGGGGATCCTCAGTGCTTTTTAAGCACATAAAGGGGTCCTGAGACTAAGACGTCTGAGAACCACTGCCTTAATGCAAGAGGTTCACTCACCATTTTGTTATGAGAAGACCCACAGACCAGATTCTCTTTCAGACTACGCAGTCCAGATTTTCCATGATGCCGTCAAGAATGGCAGATTTGAGTGCAACCTGAAACCCAGCACTAGACTTCCGATGATGTACATTGATGACTGCCTCCGGGCCACCCTGGAGGTCATGGAGGCCCCAGCAGAGTCCCTCGCCATGAGGACTTACAATGTCAATGCCATGAGCTTCACCCCCACGGAGCTGGCCCAGGAGATTCTCAAGCACGTTCCAGAATTCCAGATCACCTACAACGTGGATCCCGTCCGACAGGCCATAGGTTGGTACACCATTGCAGAACCCCTCAAAGCCAAAATTAAGCTTCAGGCCGCCCCACGAGTCCTTGAGAACATAAACGGAGGAAGATAAGGAGAGCTCAGCACCTTCCCAAGGGGCCCGACACCTTCTGGAGAAGGAGCTGCTGTTGCACCAGAGCCAGCAGATGCTGCGGTTTTGGGAAATGATGTCTAAAGTGGGTGAACTAGAACCGTCCAAATAAACAGCTTGTTCTCCCTTCACCATTTGCCAGTTTAAACGTAAAACCAGCAGGTGTAGTAGGAGAGCAGCCCTGGGTTCTCAAAGGCTGTGACTGTGCCCCTGTGTGAGTGTCATCTGAGCACAGCAGCCCCACCTTACAGGTCTGCATGAGACTTTCCTCCGAGGTGACAGACTTCTAATCTAAGAAGGTGACTGTGTGTGTGCCCATAATAGCTGCTCTGCTCTGCTCAAGGGGGGATTTCAAATAGGACGTTTCTTTCGTGGATGATAATCCTTTATTTAAAATGTTCTAGACCTTTTTGCAAATCTAGAGCCTGAATAACTTAAGCTCCTCTTCCATATCTTGTCCTAGCCGATAGTTGGCCAATGAACTTTGATGATAGCAACGCCCGGAAGGACTGGGGGTGGAAGCACGATTTTGACCTCCCGGAGCTGGTGACGACGATGTTGAACTTCCACGGTTCCGAGAGCAGAGTTGCCCAGGCTAACTGAAGGGGCCGGAGGAAGAGCTCGTGAGTCCTGGGCGGCTGTCCAGGGAAAGTCAAAATAACCCCGAGATTCCAGACCCCGAGGAATCTAGATGATGTGGAGTTGAAGGACTAACTGGACTGTTTTCGCAGCTCATGTGGAACAGCCAGATGGAGGATTGACTTGGCTTTAGCGTTTTCTCAATGCTGTAGGTTTGGTGGCAGGACCTCTGGAGCCTTTGCTATCTGCCTAAACTTGTCCAAACACACAAATCACAGAATGAACACTTAAGTCATAATAGTTTTCCATTTCCTTAGTTAAGATGAAGGAACCATTTCCGAGAAGGTCCAAGTATGTGATGTTTGTATTAAATTAAACTTAAATATCGCATCTAAGACTCCATTATTCTCTTGACTAAGACCGAAGATTACATTTTAAAGACTATCAAAGATAATCTCCCATTTTAAAAGAATTCTTTGCTATCCCATCAGAACATAAAAAATGCCTGATGTATTAATCCCATGTTCACAACATTCAAGAGATTTTGATTTTGATTGATTGTTGATTGATTGATTGATTGATTTTTGGCTGTGTTGGGTCTTCGTCGCCGCGTGCGGGCTTTCTCTAGTTGCGGTGAGCGGGGGCTACTCTTCGTTGCGGTGCACAGCCTTCTCCTTGCGGTGGCTTCTCTTGTTGCACAGCACAGGCTCTAGGTGCATGGGCTCAGTAGTTGTGGCTCGCGGGCTCTAGAGCGCAGGCTCAGTAGTTGTGGCACACGGGCTTAGTTGCTCCGCGGCGTGTGGGATCTTCCGGACCAGGGCTCAAACCCGTGTCCCCTACACTGGCAGGCAGATTCTTAACCACTGCACCACCAGGGAAGTCCCTGTTCAAGAGATTTTTAATGTGTCAAAAATGATCAGTTCTAATTTATGTGTCTGTAAGAAGATATACTGGTAGGAAACTAAGAATATCAAGAGATGATCTAGGGGACTTCCCCGGCGGTCCAGTAGTTATGACTCCACGCTCCCAATGCAGGGGGCGCGGGTTCAATCCCTGGTCAGGAAACTAAGATCCCATATGCCACACAGCGTGGCCAAAAAATAAATAAATAAAATTTTTAAAAAAGAAAAGAAAGAAAAGAGATGATCTAACTAGTAAAGGGGAGCACCTCTTACTTTAATTGCCTTCCTGTTGGTGAGCTGAGGGGTGGTGACCGGGACTGTGATCCCTTACCTGCCATGTCAGCCTCCGGAGGAGCTTGTCTAAATATACAGGTTTCTGGGCTGTACCCCTTCAGGTGGATTCAATTGATAGAGATGGGAATCTCGAAGGACCACTGGTTATTCTCTTCCAGCTTCGGCCCCCTAATTTAGACCAATCCCAAACACGATTCTCTAAAGAGAGCTTCCTTACTACAGCCTTTCTATACACTCTTAGGTGAGCCTTCAGAAAAGCTACGCTAACCCTCTGAAGCAGTTACTGTCTAAATATATAGACTTACTTTCTCCAGCTACCTCAGGATGTGCTGCCCCTGAAATCACTGGAAAGTGAAACTCCAGTCAGTCGATCACGGAGCTCATGGACACAGCTGTCAAGGATTAAAAGGCATTTCTACTATCTGCTTAATGACAGTGTTATGTATTTGGAACTTGTAACTGCTCGGTCGAAGCGTGAATTGTTTTCTTTTGAGGCGTGATTGGATTTGAACTTCTAGATAATTATTTAATAGTTATGTTGATACAGTTTCCTTCCCTACTTAGTATAATTAAGCTTACATTTGTACGTTTGATTTGCTAAAACCAAACAGCTAGTGTTACGGTCTTTTTTTTTCTTTTTACAACTTTATTGAGATATGTTTCCCATACCATAAAATTCACTCATTTAAAGATTGCAGTTTGGTGATTTTGCAGTATATTCAGAATTGTGCAACCGTCACTATAATCTAATCTTAGGCCATTTCAGCATCTCACAAAAAATCCTTCCCCAGCCTACACCACTACTAATTTACTTTCTGTGTCTATGGATTTGCCTTTCTGGATATGTCACGTAAGTGGAATCATACAATATGTGGTCTTTTGTGAATGGCTTCTTTAATTTAGCATAATGTTTTCAAGGTTCGTCCATGTTGTAGCATGTGTCAATGCTTTATTTCATGGCTAAACAGTGTTCCGTTGTGTGAATGTACGACATTGTTTTGTCAGTTCATCAGCTGAGAAATGTTTAGGTTATTTGCACTTTTTTTAGTTTTTAGGAATAAATGCTGTTATGAATACTTGAGTAGATAATTTGGTTTTGAAGCTCATTAGAAACAATATTTCTAATCGTTCAGTTTGAAAAACAGTTGTTCTCTTAATTTATTCTCAGTTATCTTAAAGGAACAGAAATTAATTCCTTCCTTCCATGTGAAGGGAAGAAGCAACTGAATTGAATGACCCTTTGTCCCTTAGACCCTAGTCTTCCAGAGTTTCCACCAGGTTCCTCGCATGACCTTGTAACTGGGGCCCTCTGGAGGGATTTGTTCTAGAATGGCTTCCTTTAATCCTTCTAAATCTATAAATGCACCTCCGGAAGAACCTCAAAGAAGCATAAAAGAACAAATGAATCCTTCAAATTACATTGGTGATTCTTAGTCACTGACAGCTTTGCGCTTTAAGATTAAAATTAGAGTTGCCCTTTCTATCCAGATACTCAATATCAGGTGCATATCTTGGGATCCCAGGAGATGACTCGATACTTTACTATAAAAGCTTTCCTTTCTGTTGGGAGAAAGGGTTTTTTGTAGTTAATTTGAAAGTGATCTGAAAAGCTACTTAGAAGGGGAAAGTGTGGGTTGCATCACAAAAATAGTTTTTTGATTTTTAAATAAAGAAGAATACAAAGCTTGACCTTGCTCTGATGTTTTTCATCCTGAAGATTTCTACAGGCTACCAGTGTGGTTACTAGATCTGCTGGTGTGTTTTCTATGTGGCATTGCCATGATGCGCCTTTGTGTCACTCCACAAACAGCACAGCCCATGGCTGCCGTCAAGGTGTACTGTTTAAAATCGAGAAGCAGGCTCTGGGCAATGAATACTATTGCACCATTTAGGATACTTACTGTAGAAGGGGATGGGTGCTAATACTATTTTTTTTTTAACTCATATAGGCCAAATTGCCAATTTGTTATTGTATTTTATGGTAAGGGCATGAGTGTTTTCAAGAGGCATTTAAAATTTTTTTAACTTAAAAATGTTTCTATTAAGAATTTAAAAATTAAAAGATACATAATGAAAAAAGTTGTCTTCTCCCCTAAACCCAATCAATAACTGATGTTAACAGTATAGTGTGTGCCTATGTTTTTCCCCGTATGCTTATACAACATGGTATTAGATAGTCAATTTTTTTTTTTTTACTATAAAAGTAGTGCTAAGACAACACTGCTGAAAATTTTGGAAGAGTCACTTGCAATTTTTGCTGCCTGACGTACTAGCTGTTTTTTTAATATTCCCATCCAGTCTTCTCATACGTGTTACAAGTAACTTAAATGTAGTGTTGATATTTACCATTTAAAAATAGCTGTGTAATAATTCATGGAGTGGAATATCATAATTATGCAATCATTCCACTATTTAATTGCTTTATTTAGAAACCCAGAAGTATGCCTACTAAGTCAAAATGTATAAACGCTTTCCTTGCCTCTTCATTTTACAGTCAAATTCCTGTTGAGAGTGTTGAATTAATTGATGATGAAATTCTGCTCTACTGTCAGCAGCCCTTGGTACATATTTACCTAGTAAGATATGGTTCACATGTATTTAAAAGTTTGATTTTTTAAAAAAGTTTGGGAATATAAACTTTATTTTTTGCTGAGTAACCTTAAGATTCTAATTGAAATGGATTTGAATTAATATAAGAAAGATACTAAATCTCAGACTAGTGGTAACTGCCTCTAACTTCAGTGCATTGGTTCCGTAAGCCCCCCATGAAGATAGTAATTCTGTTTTTTAATCACATTTTATTAAGATAAATTAGGGTGCTTGCTTTTTTGAAAATAGAATGATCTCGTCAATTTTTATGGTTTTAATATCATGTGTGCTTGACTATACTGAGACTAAATTGAACAGACAATGCCTCTTCTTCCAATGTGAAGGAAGATCCTCCCAAAAGCTTTCTTTCTGCCCAACTTAAACATTTAACTTTTAGGGTTGCAGATGAGATGGTAAAGTGCCTCCTTTTAACATTAGCTATGTGTTTCAAATTTGTTCATCTATAAACCAAGAAATGAGCTTTTCCCCCATTACCTTCATGTTTCATGAGTGTTGCACACACTTCAAATCCACTGTTGAACGTTGACTTTTGTAGTCACCTAACACATCAAGAGCAAACGATCTTTTCTTCCAGTTTGTTTGAGATGCAGCATTCTTTTCATCCATTGTTTGATGCTGTTAATGGAAATTTTATCCCAGACCACAAGGACCCCTGCGCATAACACCAGAACATTCAAAATCCATCCTGTGATTGCTACGCATCGCCTACGGTGTTGCTTTCCGTGCTTTTTAAGTCGTGACACCCAACACTTGAAATTGTAGCTTTATGATCTCAGGGAGTGTTAGCAAATCTGTTCTGTTTATTTTTAATTAATTAGTTTATTTTTGGCTGCGTTGGGTCTCTGTCGCTGCGCACGGGCTTTCTCTAGTTGTGACGAGTGGGAGCTACTCTTTGTTGCAGCGCGTGGGCTTCTCAATACGGTGGCTTCTCTTGTTGCGGAGCACGGGCTCTAGGTGCGTGGGCTTCAGTAGTTGTGGCATGCAGGCTCAGTAGTTGTGGTTCGTGGGCTCTAGAGCTCAGGCTCGGTAGTTGTGACACACGGGCTTAGTTGCTTAGTGTTATTCTCCGTGCCAATAAGTGTGTGGATGAGAGCATTTCTTAAAAGAATTTATAAAAACAAAATCATTGGTGCTATAAACCAGCTTTACAAGGATATCAAGTTAGTCTACTTTTAACACCTGCTTCAGGAATGTGGCTAAATGTACTGGACTCACCCTAAAACTACAACTCTGGTTCCTAGGGGTTGAAAAGCTGACGCCCACCCTGCAGGTTTGATGCTGTTTTTGATGGTGCTCAGGTAGGTGATACTGACACTATTCCAATTGCCCGCCCTGGTCGATAGCGGTTGTGCAATGGAGCCTGATTTCAAAGATGTTTGAGTGTGAAGAACATGTGAGTCTGAGTGTACATATCGAGATGGGGCTGCATTTGTACGTGGCGGGGCCAGGGGGAGCCCTGCAGCTGGGCCACTGTTGGGCTCACCACCTGCCTTTTGCATCGCTGGTGGGTTAACAGATCCGGTGGGCGCTAGATGAGTTGCTGAGGGTGATAGGATGTGTACACCTGCGGAGGAGGAGAGGAG